GCAACACCCAGAAGGAAACTACAGACACCCAACAGAGTGTATACATTCTTCATCAAATTCTGAACACTCCCCTGGCCGTGTGGTCACTTCTATTGGACCACTTATATGGGCAACAAAAAACAACTAATTTACTTTTTGTAATGTACAGTCAGTTTTTGAGACAATGGTTTGTATGGTGCCAAATTTGTTTTTGTGTCCAGGGTTACGTAAGTGTTTCCAAACTTTTCATTCATCAATCCCACTGCTACCAACTTAAAAAAAATATATTTATGATATTCAATGTACCCTCGCAATTTAACTTTCTCGTTGAATATATTAGTTTGGGGAAAAAGAAATCCATAATTTTTTTGGTAGATGGCTGCACTGATAGATTTCTCGTAAAGTATCGATCAAACAATTTCCGATACTGTACATTTACATACTGTACATTTCGCAGTAAAAAAAATTCTTTTGCTGTTTTTTGTTTGGTGCATTCAGTTGTGAGAACAAAGAGAAAATTCGGTACATTTTACAGTTTTTCTTTGACAAAGGCGAAAATGCAAGCCAGGCGGCTAAAATTGTGAATGGTGTTTATGGTTCCGATACTGTGACAGCCAATTATGTGCAATTTTGGTTTCGTAAATTCCGTTCAGGAATTTTTGATGTTAAAGATGCACCTCGCACAGGTAGGCCGGTCGTCGAAAATGTCGATAAAATCGGAGAAATGATCGAAGTTGACCGGCATGTTAGCAGTCGTAACATCGCCCAGGAGCTAAAAATCGACCATAAAACAGTTTTAAACCATTTACACAAAGCTGGATTCAAAAAGAAGCTCGATGTTTGGGTGCCACACCAATTAACAGAAAAAAACATGATGGATCGAATTTCCATCTGCGAAGCCTTGGCCAAACGGAATGAGATGATGACTGGAGATGAGAAATGGATCACATACGATAACCCTGTGTGAAAACTATCGTGGTCAAAGAGCGGTGAAGCACCTCAAACGGCCAGGAAGGTTTTGCTATGCATTTAGTGGGACGGGAAGGGGATTATTAATTATGAGTTGCTTCCATATGGCCAAACGCTAACTTCTGATCTCTACTGTCAACAACTGGACCGTTTGAAGATAGCGATTGACCAGAAACGGCCAGAATTGGCCAACAGGAGAGGTGTCGTGTTCCATCAGGACAACGCTAGGCCACACACATCTACAGTGACTCGCCAGAAACTTCGGGTGCTTGGTTGGGAAGTTTTAATGCATCCGCCATACAGTCCGGACGTAGCACCAAGCGATTATCATCTTTTTCTTGCATTGCAAAATTTCTTTAATGATAAAAGATTGGAATCTAGGGAGGATTGCGAAAATAGACTACTAGAGTTTTTTGCAAATAGAGACTAGGACTTCTACGAGAGAGGCATTTTGAAGTTACCTTTAAAATGGCAACAAATCGTACAACAAAACGGTGCATATTTGACCCAAATCGGGCAATCCGAAGCATGTTAAATAAAGTCCTGAAGTTCATATAAAAATAATGGATTTCTTTTTCCCCAAACTAATACTATTACATCACCTTCATCAGCGGCTGTGCGATCAAAAGACGCCCCGTTGCTAATATTGAAATGTACAAAGCAGAAACCAAAAAACAAGAAGTATAATAGTTCGTGATGCTTATAAAGTATATTGCATTGCAACCCAACGTTATATTAATATAATCCGTTTGAGCGGCCGAGCAGACAAAGGATCTCGGTTAACAACTCGATAGTCATGGGTTGAAGTCTCAAGTACAGCAGAGTTTTCAACAAAGCCGATAATCTGACACGCTAGTGCTTTAATACTTTAGTAGTAGAAGCTAAAAATGTGTCTGTAAATGTGTGTTTCCTATGAAAATGTTGCCAATTTTTTGTAACGCGCGTTTTTTTGGAAGTTACTGATTTTTTTTCGCTTTTGATAAAAAATATTTATTCAGTGAAAACTCTTGCCTACTCTCACGCCATATTTCTACCAAAAGTTATATGCGAGGTATTTCTCCCATGCAAGTTTTTCCCGCTTGTTTTCTTTTAAGGTGATTTTTTTTTTGCACGATATTTTTCTTGGAAGTGCTAAAAGTAAACTGTTTAGGGAAATATTATGAGCAATTTTCTCGCGATATATCTCTCATGACAATTTTTACAACTTTATTTTCCCCGACTTTTTCGCGCATAAGATTATTTTAACCAATTGATGTGTTCTCCCCTACAGCATTTTTCCCTCTTGTAATTTATTTATTTATTTATTTATTCTACTTATACAAGAAACTCAACTAAAACAAATTGACTGTCGAGTTCATTTGACTCTTAAAAAAATTTTACATTAATTAATATTAAAACTTAGTGTAAGTATAATAAAACAAATAAGAAGGAAAAAAAAAGAAAAAAAAAGAAAAAAGGCATGTACACAACTAGCATAGAGCCACAGCCACGACCGGTACACGACCAAAATGCAAATGAACCCCTAAGCCATCGCAAACATGCATAAGCTTGGCAACCGATAATAGTTAACAACAATTCATTTTCGGATCATAATGACTTTTTAAGATTAAGAGCTAGTTTAAGTACGACTTAGGTAAATTACGTGTATTAAGCAATGTTCCTTTAATGGACTTTAAATAGCCCGACAATGAGAATAAGTGATAGACATCCTTTACAAACTCTTCATGACAACCCTGAGCGGGTTAAACCGCTCATAATTGTATTTACATTGACGAAGCTTAACCAAGATAAAGTGCCAAGAGAAGCGATTAGCGACATAAAACGTTATTTCACCCAGTAATGCAGGCGAGTCAATAGCACCATTTATTACTTTGATTGCGAAGGAAACGCCAAGAACAAATCTACGTTTCTCGAGAGATGGTAAGGCCAACAGAAGCCACCTATTTCCATAGGGGGGAAGAGAGGCAATCGGATCCCAACCCAAATTCCTAAGGGTAAACAGCATGAATTGCTTTTGAACAGATTCAATTGAATCTACATAGCATCTATATGAAGGACACCACACAACAGTAGCATACGTGAGTATATATCATAAAAGTCAATTATTAGTTACTAGTTTTTCTCTACGTACGTTACATGTTTAAAACGACAAATATAATGTCTAGAGAATTGCCTATCCTGCACCTATATCTTAGCGACGTGAGAGAAAGGAAAAAACCATACGAATCCCTAAAAATTCGAATTATTATCTATCCCACTTGTCGAATGTCCTATAAAACACATAGGATGCATAGCATATATGTAGAAAATACCACGCACCCTCGGCGACTCTCTACTCATTCCCTACGCATTATCGTATATAATAGAAAGGCAGAAATTTGAGAATATTATCTATGTAGAGAACATCCCAAATATTTTTAAATTGTTTACACGTTTACGTATAGAATACGTAGACAATATCAAGCGTCTCTAGTGATTCTCTAAGCAGAATGCTTCTCCCATTCTCTTTTAGTTTCTCTTATGGCCTTTTTTGCGCTTTCTTTTTCATAAAACGTTTTCAAATTATATTTAGTTTTAAGTTAAGAGAATAAGAGATTAACTTGCCTCGATTAAGCGCATGCACACTCTCTTTCTTGCTTTCTTATTTCAGCAATTTTTCTCTTTTATTTAGCCACGACAACAGAGGCTATCACAAGGCATGTAACGGTATTAGAACCACTTCAATGTTTAGTCATTTTGCGCGACATTTAGAACGTGTGCGGAAAGTACGGACTAAAAGTTGGATATTAAGTTCGTAAAACTAAAGTAAACGTAGTTAAATTAAACCGCAAACAGACGATTAAGAATTAATGTAAAAATATAAGAAAATGAGTAACAATTAATTAATTAATGAATGCAAATTATTGCTTTTGAAAAATAGAAGAATTGAAAAATTTTAATAAAAATCAATAAATATAATAATAATAATACAAAGTTATTTTTCACCTAATTGCCTGTCAACCGAAAATACATATATAAAGAACTTTAAATAAAGAGTTCGTTGCTTTTATTAATAGCGGTATAAGGGTGTTAGCACATATGTGTAGGATTTGGTTATAACCAAGAACAATAAACTCATTGCGTGCTTCCATTTTCTTTTCGACTTCAGAGAATTTTTTTTTTGCATGATTTTCTTAACAATATATATGTGCGTGTGTGTATGCATGTTAGCCCATGCATATGGGCGAGTTTCCTAGATGAATAATTGTTCAACTAGCATGTTAAACGCCAAATGTTCAAAGGTTGTTGCTTCAAGTCAACGATCACATGCTATGTGCGAGTGAAATTAATTGAAACCTATGTCCGGATCGAGCATATGTAAGCGCTATACGGGGCGTATGATTTTTAAAATTTTGCTAATATGTGCAAACATATGTTAGTAAACGCATAAGTGTGTTATTAACCAAAAACCAATTACGTGCATAACTACGAATTGTTCATACATACATTCACAAACAAATCCCAACAAACGATTCCTTCCTTTCATTCTATTTAGTTTTTCTATTAACATTGGCTAAGAGAAGAATGCTGTTAATGTGTTTTGTGCTTTGAGTAATGTCTGCGACATTTACATCAAAGTATGCGATAGAGTTATTTATGCTATACATAGACATACACATTGATGCATATCTATATGCTTGGATATGTAATACTACGACTATTTTACTTTGCGTTTATTACAACCGCAATTTCTACACCGCTGACGTTTGTTAAACCGACGTTGGCGGCGCTTATCAATTACTTTAACCCAGTTTTTCATATACTTTTTTAATCATTTCAAAATGGTGTACACAATGAATACTATAGAAAGGACTTAGAAGAAAACAACTTGAGTGGAGAGTTTTAATTATACTGAGAGAAGTTTTTCTTTATTGACCGCTTGCTTACACACGTAAAAGAATTCACATATAATTTATTTATATTAACGTTAATAATGGAACATTGAAGAAGAAGAAGGAGAAAAATAAAGTAAATATAAATGAATGAAAGGAAAGAATTTTGCTTCAAGTTATATTTTAATATTAATTCAATGAAACACTTTATACGTGATGGTCGTACATGCTATAGTTTAGTGCTGTAATCGTTTTGAAAAGTCAGTGAAACGTGAAATTAAATCCTGCTGCATGACAGTTATTGATATTTCATTTCATTTAATTTTTATTTTTCGTTTTCAATTCTCGTTTACGCCTCAGATTTCTTAGAAAGTTCTTATGAAGTCCAGGAGAAAAAATTAAAAATTAAGGCGAAGAAAAAAACAAACCAAAATAAGAAAATTAATAGACTAAAGCAACAACATCGTCAATCAAAAAAAGGCAACGGCAGGTGTAATAGCGTTGCTTGTACAGTACGAGCGAAGGCATTGCGATGGTCATTTATGCCTTGAATGTCCACCTATGTATATATAGATTGTACAGCCATGATCCTAGCAGCTATTAACCGTAAGTAGAATTCGAAAACGTGCTTTGCTCATGAAAAGTACTGCGATAACAATGAGTTTCTTACCTATTGTTGATCTGATGTGCAACTACACATTTACTCTTTTTTTTCATCCTATATGCAGCGAATGGATGTTAGTTAGGTGTACCGAAATCGCATAAAGCGAGAGGAATAAACATTTTCGCTGTTTTTGTTTTCACACTTAGCCATAAGACATATAGTAGGAAGTATGGTCAATAAAATATATTACCTATTATACTTCTCAAGGAGCAATGATTTATAAACTAATAGATCCTATGACTTGAAACTGTTTGTGCCAAATTAAAGCGAATGTGTTTTTCTATTTTTGGGGGGTTTTCTATCCCAATCTCTTCTTTTTCCAACATGCATTCATACAGATTAAGGCTTTCAATTGCGAAATTATAGAGTTAGCAGCAAAAGCATAGCAGCGGTCAAAGTAAATACTTTCAAGGTCAAACTGAACAATTTTTTTTTTTAAACAACATTTTCAAGCTTAAAGAAATAATCAAGTGAAATTAAGTCTAAAACGCTAGCAACTATGGCATTATAACAAAATATATCTAGTAGAAGTAAGCATCAAAGGTAAAGTAAACAGTATATCTCTTATCCCCTCGGAAATGCGGTTAGGTATCTTCTACAAATTTAGCACGGTGATGGTCAAGAAGAAATGAGGAAAAAGAGAAGATCGGTTGTGTGCTCAGTAATTGTTATTTATTGATTGAGCACACACCTCACTGAGATTTGCACCCGCCTACAGCAACTTAGTATTTACGACTTCTATGTACAAATATTGCACTGTCTACATATGAATAACACAAAATCGTTCCTTGATCATTATTACGTCATGATATTACGACGTCAGGACACCAGCGCCGACTTCTACATCAACTTGTGCATCTCTCCAATGTAGTTCGCAGTATTAAGACCAAAAAATTTAATTCTCGCCGCCTCATGCTAAATTCAAGCGATTCGCGGCAGTTTTGTTGAGATCCGCAAAAGTCGAACCCATCTACCTACGTCTGTAAAAAAGATTTCCAAGTTTTAATATTAATTGGGGCCTGCAAGTATGTGTCTATATATATATATATATGTATATATCTGTTTATACATACACATATATGTCTGTATATACTTACATGTAATACATACTATATTATACATATACATACACATATATTATATTATATGTATGTATTCATACATATATATATATATATACAAATATATAATGTATGTATGGTATATGCATATATAAAATATATATAATATGTGTGTATTTAAACAAATATAGGTTTACTCAATTCCACAAATTTTTATTTTAAGTTTTTTTGAAGTTTTTTTTATAGTTTTCTCCATAAGAAAAATCTTAAATCAACTACCATTACGCAATTATTTCCAAATACACGGATTGACCCATTCGATTCCGCCATTAATAACAAACAATCAAAATTACTCTATATACGTGGGTGTATTGATTAAAGAAATTCCTAGAAAATAGGCGAAAACAATAATATTCTTATGCATTTGTGCAAACAATGTTGAACAAATGTATCATATCTTTGCTTTTAATGGCAAAAAAATTTGTTGGAAAATTTTTTTCTTGTACAATAGTCCTCCTTTGCTGATGGACAACGGCGCACTGAAGTTTTGATGACTCCTTATAGGCAAACGTTATCTGATATTTTTATGCTGTCTTCTAGCTAAGTTGAACTATAACCAATTCAAGCCTTATTGTGTCCAAGGCTTGCAATATATGCCTAGGAACACTTGTTAAAATGAATACGATGACGTCGCTTCGAAATGCATATACAAATATTAGACAAGTATTCACGCATTTGCTGCGCTGCGGTTCAGCTTGTGGGGAACTTTCACCGTTCACTCGCATTAATGGATAAAAGACACACCGCTCGCTTGCTTAGTTACGGCAAAAAATCCAATTAAATAAGCTTAAGCTGACTCTGACAGATTTAAACGACTGTGAAAACCGAGTGAAAACCTTTAATTTCGCTTGCCTTTTATGTTTATTTCTACGTCAGGTGACCGCAGTGGACTGTTCTGAATCTGAAGTTATTTGTACCTGATGCAAAAACAACAAAAATCATTTAGCCAGTTGGACAGATTTTTAAGACTCACAGCTTCCGCAACTCTTTACAAATAACTTTCAAGTGCGAAAAAATCTATTGGCGAAAATAAAGCCAAAAAGCATAGCGTACGTATGCCGATCTTAACTGTGTTGGATTTGTACTGTTCGGTAAGCAAATTCAATACACGATAATTAAATGCGCGAGCAGACTAAAAAACAAAAGCTTCTTTCCGAATTGATTTTACTATATACATTTTTGGATACATTTTTCTCGCCAGGCCACTGTAAAACTTTAGGAGAGAATTTTTCCCGTTTCACTTCAAAATTTCAACATCAAAGCTATTTTAGAAATGACAATTGTTACGATTACTTGCAAGCGTTCACACTTTAAAATTAATTTAAACGATTGCAGATTTGTCAAACTTACCTTTGATCGAATTTGGAACGAAGCCAGAAAGCGTAGCTCTCTCACTGCTAACTCAGTTTTCGAAGAGACATTCAAAATATGTCTTTCCCCCTAGATACGAGGAAACGCCTACAGTCAACGCGATCAAAGCTGGCCTTTGCGCTTTTTTTTTTTCTTCTCCTTTAGATTGTAACGTGACGTGCTAAACAGCAATACGTGTACTGGGGTCTTCGTTAAAGTGCAGAAAACTCTTGAAAATTTTCTGCTCGGCCAATTGATAGGATTGGATATTCGTGAAGGTTTTTCGACGAGACATCAACACATATGCTGTCTCACAGGTTACTAACGCATAGACGATTATAATCTTTTCTTTTTTTTTGTTTTACAAAATAGATAATAGAAATTCGCCAAAATTTCATTGCATCATTGTCCAACAGCGCAGGAGCACAATATTGCAGAAGAAAAAGCAATTTTTACGACAATTCCTTAGATTGGAATATAAAGAAATGATTAGTTTCTCGAATATTGCTATGCCTTTTGAGGCCTTTTTTCTACTTTAATTTAGTAGGCTTTGCCAAAAGAAGACTTTGTTCTAAATAAATAAAATCTAGCAAAGTACATTTGCGTACAATTGCAAGTAGAATTCGAAAACGGTCTACTATACCTTTGGTCTTTTATCATAAAATCAAAACGTTTTGTGTTAGATATGAGTGAGCTATGAGTAAGAGTTAGTCTGCGAAACGTTCTTCAGCAAACAGGTGTTTAAAATTACGGCAAGCCGTCCGAAGTATGTGCTCATTCTTGCACTCAAACGTAATTTTCAACCCAAAGAAGTTTATCGCAGGCGCGAAACGAATTAAAACTTAATGCGAAGAAGAGGCAGATAATTACCTAATTTACGCTACTTCTTGATGAAATGCCAAAAGGCGTGCGTTTCGTAGCAGCCCTTTTAGGCGGACAGGCGAACAAAGTCCCCTGATTTAAAGTGGTTCAGATTTAGCGAAACTAATTGTCTTGCGAAAAATCATCTCGTTCTTCATCTATTTTCGTCACGAAGTAGAAAAATTAGGTTTAATTTTCACGAGACTTCTTATGTAGGACGGAGTTCAAAAAATAGATCTAAACCGTTCAAATTTGGTATAGTTAATTCTCATGTCAAACTATTGTTCAGGGTCAATTTTCGTTATGAAATAGTGTAGATACTTTAAAGCTTTCTTTCGTGGAGGTTACTTGGAAGCGTTTTCAAAGTATTGGCAGTCTGATCCACATTTGTCACACCAGTTTAACTTTATTATTTATGGATTTTTGTTGGGAAATCGTTAAAATTGCATTCTTAGCTTCGTACAACGACTTTACGAACAACGAAAGTAAGGTTTTATATGAAGTAATAGTCGTAAAAATATCCTGATAGAATTCATTTTCGACTGCATTCGTCTTTGCAGCAAAACATGTTATTGCATCAAATTTCATGAAAAAGTCGTGAAAACGAACATCTGAGGAGTTAGGAAACAACAGACGGGCAAACATGGTTAGATTGATACAGAAAATTATTCTGATTGATATAATAGAAGGCGGACCTATCTCAAGTCGTTTTGACTGCTGCATACATCCTCATACACATTTATAGAAAAGTATCAAAAATTTTACATTTAAGTAAAATTTACTTGGTTCAATTGAAAACCATATGAAATTTCATTCTATATGGTAAATCTTGTCAAGCGCAGGCTTGCATTTGGAAGCTTATATTGATGAATTGACTTCCGCCACATTCGCTAATCACTTAATTAACTTAATTTGAAATGTATTTAATGTTCATTTCATTTAAGTATTATGTACACAAAATACAATTAAAAGCGTATAAGCGTCTGTAAGGAATAACCGGATTTAGTAGAAGCGGAATAGTAAATGAAAATGTACTTATATGCTCGCATACATTTACGCTGAATATACGATGTGTCTAGACGACGGTTTTCTGAAAAGTTTCCGACCTAAAAAGAAAGCAGAACATTTCCGTTTTAGTCATCTCCTCCAAAAGTGAGGCAATCAGTCAATCTTTACAGAATGATTTGTTATAATTCGTGAAATGTGCTTGAGTTTCCTAAATGGCCGCATTACTTGATCGATATATAACTACCATAAATAGTAGGTGGGAACGGAACTTGCGATATAAAGTGACTGCGGCAAAAATTCAAACTTCAATTCATCCAATTTCGTTATTGTAGCCATCGACGTGTGACACGGTGCATTTATTCGGTTTACCGTCACGCAGCTCGCAAGGACATAGAACCAGGATTCATGTACTTTCAGAGTTCTCCACTAAGCATTCGGCACCTACGTAGGCCCAAGATTTAAGAGTTTTCTGTGGTATTGAGCCGGCCAGAGATGTAGTAATGTGAGTGATTGCCTAACTATGTTGGATTGATATGAGCTTCTTGTACTTGTAAGGATCAGTTCGGGAAACATCTTGTCTATTCCGAATGCAAGACTGTACA